CTTAGAAAGGTGATGAAATTAGCCATGCCAGCTCCATTAAAAATGTGATAATGTACGTCCTCTGTTAACAGACTAGAACTTTAAGGATCGTTTGATGTATCTTACCTTATAATTTTTTTATCTCTTTAAGGAAAATGTCAACCCTATCAGATGTTGAAGTCAAAATATTTTTAGAGGAAGTCCTATGCATTGAAGACGCGAAAACAAAATTCAAACACAACAAAGAGAAACTACTCAGAGAAATACTTTACCAATTTCAGCACGTTGAGCCATATCACAGCATAGTTTGCTTAGGTACTAAGCCAGAAGACCGTCACCTACCACTTTGGGATGAAATTAAAGAGAATTTATTCAGAAAGAGAGGTGGCCGTTGTTATGTGGCTAATCAATTCATGAAAATACTTCTGGAAAAGATTGGTTATGATGTCTACCACACCAGGGGCTCAGTATTAAAGGCTAAAAATAATCATGTGTGTACGTTGGTACGTGATCTCAATCAAGTGGGTGATTTACATATGGCAGATGTCGGTATAGGATACCCAACATGGGACCCAATACCGTTGAATTTTGAGGTTGAATCTCCCGTTTATCACGTTGGATTTCTCTATTTCAAGTTTCAGCGTAATGGTGATATAATAACTCGATTGCATAAAAACGATAAGAGGTATGAGTTCCCTGTCAACATTGATAGCAAAGCGTGGCATGAATTTATGGTTATGCGGACCACTCCCTGTGAGTTGACCGACATGCAGCCAGTAATGACGGCTATGTACACAGTTCCAGGTGCTTATAACAGCTCATTTCTGAAGTCTCTAAAATGTGTCATATTCAAGAACGGTAAACTTGTTGCGTTTAAAGATTCAACTTTCCTGTACGAAAATGATGATCATCAATTACAAGTTGAGCAGATAACAACGCGTAAAAAACTTGTTTCTAAAATACTAATGTATTTTCCTCAGTTCACGCTTAACATGGTTGAAGCTGCTCTGGATGCGAGTATAACTCTTAAATTTGATTAAAAATGGGTCATTTAATAGCTTAAACGACCATGTATGTATATATATATATATATACATATATACATATATATATATATATATATATATGTTAGTGTTAAGTGCAAATTGCATTCAACTTAACATTAAATGCATTCCAGTTAACTGCAATTGAATTAGTGTTGAATGTAATACGTTGCAATTGCAGTTAAATCAAATGGATTTAATATTAAGTTGAATGCATTTCCACTTAACACTAATTCAATTGCAGAGAACTCGAAATGTATTTGATGTTAAGTTGAATGCATTACACTTAACACTAATTTAATTGCAGTTAGCTTGAATACAATTTAATGTTAAGTTGAATGCATTTCCACTTAACACTAATTCAATTGCACTTAACACTAATAGATTTAATGTTAAGTGGAATGCATTTCTCTTTAACACTAATTGACCAAATTTGGTATTTCCATTAAGTGATTATTATTGGCTATTATATTAATGTTAAGTCAAATACATTACACTTAAGACCAATTGACCAAATTTGGTATTCCATTGAGTAATTGTGATTGGCTGTTGTATCAAAAAACAGCTTTTAATAAAACTGACAAATCACATTACACTTACACTAATTCAATTCCAGTTAACTCGAATGCAATTAATGTTAAGTTGAATGTATTTTAAGTTAACACTAATTCAATTGCAGTTAAGTCGAATGCGTTTAATGTTAAGTTGAATGCATTTCTACTTAACACTAATTCAATTGCAGTTAACTCGGAATGCATTTAATGTTAAGTTGAATGCATTACACTTACCACTAATTCAATTGCAGTTAACACTAATGCATTTAATGTTAAGTGTAATGCATTTGCACTTAACACTAATTCGACATATTAGAAATACATTTACAATGAAGTTCAAATCAATTGCAATTAAGTCGAATTTTGCATTTAATGTTAAGTAGAATGCATTCAATGCATTCTACTTCAGTCGAATGCATTCGACTTAAGTGCAATTGATTTGAACTTCAGTGTAAATGTATGTTCCTCTTTTTTATGTGTTGCATATATCGACCGTTTAACCTATTTTTTAAAAATATATATAGATTTTTGCAAAACATTTAGTGATCCACGGAGATTTTGTGCGTTCGCCCTTACACGAACTTTCTTAAGAGGGAAATATCTATCTAGTGAACTACTGGTATGCTATAGTTGCATTTTCAGAACCTGATACATGTCCCCATTGTTCAGTATTTAGTACAAATTCGAAGGTTAGTAAATTTCGTTGAGAAATATGAAGCTTTTCAGCATATTTAAGATTATGAGCAAGTGTTGATCAGTTTTATTGATACATTATATTGGAAAGAGGTAAGAGATTACCGCTGTTAACGCCCAATCCAGGACCCGGTTCAGAATCATCTAACAGGCCAACTGATAAATACGAAATTTTCCGGAAATGGGGTTTACATCTTCTTTATATAAACGTCCAGGGGTCGGGGAGAGCCTACCCTCCCGTCGGGGAGAAAAAACACAATTCGTTGTGGAAAAAAAATATATGTATTTTCTACATATTAGACTCTAAAATCGATAAAATAAGCCTTTGAAACCCCTAAATTGTCAAATTTTTGGGGGCTTCAGCCTCGGGACCACTTACGATACCTTTAATCGAAGCTCGACCACTTCCACTTTGCTTTCGTCGGGGAAATCTGACCCCTCGTCGCGGGCATCGCCCCTCCCCGTCGGGGACCCCCCCCCCTTCGGGCAAATCCTGGCGCCACCCCTGCTTAAACGATGTAAACGTTTCATGGTCTAAATTTAAAGAGTTGTTTATTCCATTTATTAGAAGGAAGGCTATCATTTGCTTTTTATATTCAATAGAACTTTAACTCTGTTCCACAAATATTAAACATTGAACAAAAACACAAATGACAGATTTGTTATAGATAAAATGCTGTTACTGCACTAAACAAAACTTCGAAACAAAACTCATGACATTAGGAAAGTCAAATCAAAATGTATATATTATAAACAAGATAGATACCTACAAAATAATCCAAATAAACTGTGGTTATCTCCAAACCAGTTAGAGTTTAGTAAGATATATTTAACACGCTCATAATTTTGTTCTTGATATTGATAGAAAACCATGTTATAATTTAAATGTCATATCAAACCGTTTTAACAAAATTGTTTGTTGATGTCGCAACAAAGTTAGTCAGCAAGCTTCAATTTGCTTGCAGCTTAATCACTGTTGGCTCTAAAGCTTTTACTAAATTTCTATCATAACAAAATTATACATGATACTGTACTTTATTCCATTTTAATGAAGTTAACGAGGAAACGATTAAGGTAGAATTTGGTAAACCTAATCCTACTAAATTGGGGAGGGTTGGATCAGATACCTGCTAGGTTTATTAAGGATGGAGCATGTGTTCTAAGAGTATATAAAAGAATGTGTTCCAGGTGATTTTAAGTTTGCTCTAGTCAAGCCACTATACAAAAAGAAAGGAAGAACTTAACTTCAATAATTACTATACTGCCCTGCTCTGAGAAAAGGCATTAAGTAACAAAATCATAGTTTTTAGTAAATTAGCAAAACGCGTTTGAGTTTTTCCCAAGAAAAGTACAAATTATTTCAAATTTGTTAAACTATGGTTTGCTTAGATATATTATTAAAAAATTTGCCACATACATGATTTAATGATACAATACAACATATGTTATACAAATGAGTGCAAAACATTTTAAAAGTTTTATTACAATGCTCCGACTTTTACAATTTTTTAAATAGTTATTTACACTTTTTCTTTCACAATTGCATTACTCAATGTCCCTTCCTCGAAGTGGAGCACAATCTCGGTGGCGAAAATTGTGTCTGTCCATTTTTGGTTTACCGCTTGGTTGCCTGAAAGAGTAATAATAATGATGATAGTAACAATAACAATAATAAACACAATACAAAACATACAATGTCGATAAAACCAAAAAATAATACTACTAAATAATAATAATAATAATCAAAATTTAATACTTAATAGGTATGAAACATAATAAAATACAATATTGTACTTACTCAAAAGACTTCTAAAAAAGGTCTTGCGCTGTAACTTGCATCATTTCGGAAAAAGTATCTCATTAATCACAGAATTATAAATAAACGCCGTAAAATTTAAAGCAGATAATGCACTTTCTCAGAGTACTGTATTCTTCGAAATAAAGCAGTTAATAACTAGGCATTATTTGCTAAGGATTCTAAGCTAATTAGTTAGATATTCGTTATACTAGCATCTGATTGGTTACTTACTATCTGTCTTGCGTTCAAGTCAAGCGTTCAATGCATGTATGTAAGGCTTCGCGCACATAATGCCTTTTCTCAGAGTATTTATAGTGAAATTTGCAGATAATGCCCAATTTTAAAATAAAATTTCATATTTCCAGACA